GGATCGTTTTGGACTCTTAAGATTTCTCATGTCAAGTTTCAAGTCTTGCAGTTCAAGTTTACTCAATTAATTGATTAGTTGACCTAAAATCAATTGTATTGGGTAAAAAGTCAACTGTGGTCAACTTACAGTCAAACTTCATGATTTTTTATCCATATCAATATTTTGAACTCACATAAATAATTTGGTCAAGTATTGGACTACAATTCCTCAAGAAATTTGATCAGATCACCAAAAGGGCAAAATGGTCAAAATTAGGGTTTTGACTGAGAAGGCTTGATTTTTGACTTTTGACCAAATACGTGACTTATTGGCTTTAGACATAATATCAAGGATTCAAATGCATCATCTTGACCTAATGGCATTTTTCAAAACACTTCTCAAGATCAATTGATTGATAATTGAAATTTGGTCAACTGATGAAAAAGTCAACTATACACTAAAAAGTCAAACTTTGACCTTTTGATCAAAATCAAGTTTCAAAAATCATATTTCATCAAGACATGTCAGAATATGAAGATTGTTCATCAAGAAATCAAAAAGTCAAAATTCACTTTGAAAAGTCAAAATTTCTAAGACTTAGACATTTTTCTAAGTGTTGGAAAATTTACTTTTTTTGTGCCTTTGTGCCAAATTTTCACCATGATGCAAAATGATTCAAAGAAAACTTACAACATGAAAGTTGTAGATCGTGAGGAAATATACAAATTTTTTTCACAAATCAAATTCTATAAATGCTTGGATTTTATGTTATAAATTCATGAAGACATGTACATGAAACAAAAACACTTAGTGAAATTTTACCTTAGTTAGGCAGATTTTTGTTACCAACTTCATGGAAACTTTTCATATAGTTCCAAGTTGATTCTTCAAAAATGTCCAACATGAAGGTTGTATAGGATGCTACAAGCTTTCCGAAATGTCCAAGAACTCATTGAGACCATACTTGAGCTGAGAGAATCGAAGGCAAGAAGTTAGAGTTTCAAGCTTGATTTACAAGGCAGATTTTGTGATGAACAAGAACCAAATCCATAGCCATGTTGCACAATATTCACTTTACAGGTCTCAAATTTGTGTTTCACTCCATAATTAATGATTTACCTAATTGATTAAGTTCTTATCCAAGTGTTTTAAACATTGTCCAAACCAATTTTCCATTAATGGCACAAAGTTACCATTTCCATTTTAGAAAAGCAAACTTTATGCAAAGTCAACTTATATTGCGCCTTGCACTTGTTCTTTCTGCACACACAACACCTATAAGCCAAAAGCAAGCATGTTTAAAGTTCTACCCACTCTATACAGCCTTGTACCATGTCTTGGAACAAGATGTTTCAACTTTGCTTCAAAAACAAGTAAAGATGCCACAACTTGAGATTTCAAATTTTGGCTTGTTGTAACACACAATACCTCTTGCCTATAAATAGAGGCATCATTTGCAAGCCAACACACGATTTTGCTATCCGGAAAACTCCCTCAAACTTCCTCAAACACAGAATCACCAAGAATACCTTAAAACTTGTCATTTTCTGAGTTTTGAATCCAATCTTCAAATCTACTCGTGCGTTTCTTGACCTTTTGCTTTCAGAAGTTTCTAAACATCATACATAAACAATCCCAACACCTATTATCCAACTGTAACACCATCTTCATCAACTTCCATTTTCAAAATAGAGCTTTGCACTTGGACTTCTCCAGCACGATTCAACCATCCTTAGCTCAAGGTAACTATTGCATTAGCTTCCTAGAGTTTCAAGAAAGCTAACTCAATCATCACAACACCTTGAAAGCTACTCAAACTCAAAACACGAAGTTCAGTTTTGAGGTAAGTTTTATGATTTTCAAACTCCTCATATAGGCATTATTAGGCTTGCATTTTCAAAGATAAAATATAGATATCATTGCCCTGAAACTGCCCATGTCCATAGTTTTCATTTATATTGCATGAGCTTAGAGAATTTTGAGTTTGAAATATCTGGAAAAGTTAGGTTTCAGATTAGGGCCAACAAAATTCTCATTCATATTTGACTTATAGTTTTAGTGAGTTATATTTTTGAAATCGTGATGAGATTTTACACAACTTTTATGTTTGCATTTTCCATTTTAGTTGAGAAATGAATGAGATACAGATGGTCTGGCTGGTGCAAGGTTGAAGACGAAGTACATGCCATGGACTTGTTTTGTAATATATTGTGTTGGTTCTGTTTTATACACCGGATGTATAGCCACCCCAGTGGTAAGGCAGCGCGCGTATATTGTTGAGGGCGTGGGTTCAAACCCAAGCGCTACCATTTTGCTTATTTTCTAACATTTTTTTCTTTTATCACACAACATGCACGCCTAGGCCATCCCTCACTGAGATTTGCATTTTTGCCTAATAATATCCCAGGTATACTTATCACCATGCAGGCCCATTTTTTTTAATTTCTTTTATGATTTCAAAAACAGGTCATTGGACCTAAGAAAACAAAAACTGTTTTACTCCTAAGCACCCCCATATCATTTTATACCCCCCTTGACTTTATTTTTATAATTATAATTTTATTTTCCTTTTCTCTATTTTATTACTATTAATATTATTATTATTATTATTATTATTATTATTATTATTATTATTATTATTATTATTATTATTATTATTATTATTATTATTATTATTATTATTATTATTATTACTAACTAAAGATACCAAAAATATTTTCATTTATTTATTTATTTATGTATTTAGCAATTCTTATCTTATTTCTTTTTAGACTAAAAAGACCAAAATATTTTCTTATTAAATCCATTTTATTTTCTTAAAATTAAATAAATAATTAGATTTAGGTTTATTTTTATTATTTTTTAGAACTTGGGTTTCTTTTATTTAATTATTTTCATACTAGTGTAGTTAATATTAAAACTCTTTCCATCAAAACCCCTAAAAAGGTTGCCTTCTTCAAATTAAATCAATTTCTTTTCTTTTAATTTAGATTTAACTATTTTTCTTGTTTTAGTTAATTATTTTTCTTTAATTAATTAGGTCAAAAATCATTTTTATTAACAAAAACTCAAACAAAAATCCATTCCTTTTCCATTCATCCTTGTACATTATATTAATTTCATTTCTTGTACATTTATTCAATTCAATATGGTTGTAATAGATAATTAAGACATTTATTTCTTTTCATTCCCCATTTGTAAATTTGTATACCCCACCCCCTAATGATGTAATAGTGTAGGACATTTATTTTTCGCAATTTATCGCTTTCATATAAATGCTAGTAAATTAGGGTTTGTATGGAAAGATAAAATCAATACTTAGAAAATCCTAATCCAAGATAAATCAAGCATGAAATACAAAACACTTGCACACTTGCACATCTAGGGGTAACTCCACTTTGTTGCCTTAAGAAAAATGATCATGTTATGCATTTGAGACATCTTAGCAAAAAAACAATAAAAAAATATAAGATCATAGTCCCTCGATGACGCTACGAATGTTGCCTTCAAAATGATCTTAGACCCTTAAGAAGAATGCTAAGATATCTTATATAACATTGCATTTTATGACTATACAATGACCCACGCCCGTCCATTTACATCCAAAGATAAAGTTTCTTACCAATCAATGATAAGATGGCAATATCCAAAGGAAGAGAGAAATGAACAAAAGACTTTTGAGTAGGTAGAACGTTCATAGTTGTTTGTTCACAACCATCTTCAAAACATCTTTCAAAATACACCAACACTTTCAAATATGAAATATTTTCAAAAGTCAACACTTTGTATACATTCTTATAGAGACGAGAATCATTACAAAGTTCGCCTAAACAAAGGCACTTTTCAAAAATACTTTCAAAAACAAATCACAAACACATTTCAAACAAAGCATTTCAAAGTGAGCTAGCAACTAAGAGACCGTAGATAACTACGGATGAAAAGGGTGCTAACACCTTCCCTTTTCATAACCTACCCTCCGAACTCAAGAAAATATCTCAAAGGTCTTTCCTGTTCTTTTCACTCTTTTCTTATTGGATAAAAGAAAAGTCGGTGGCGACTCTTACTATCCGCAACAATTGCGATCAAACGCAAAATAACCAAGTCAGTTCTCCCATCGTATTACAATGTCCTACAAGATCCATTGAAATATGTCCCAGAGAAGGTTCTAGGTCTATGAATCCTAGACCTCTTGTGTAAAGTCTAACTAATACTTCAGACTCAGTTGCACACTATTCTAAATCCTAAATCTCTCGTTCATAATTTTTATTGACTTGATTGTCATAGTGCTTTATAGACACACCCACATCGCCAAGCAAGCAAACATCGATTGTCATCAAAGTATCCATCATCATCTTCGACACTATTACCACTTGAAATTCTACTTCAGTTCAAATCGAGTAGCCAAGACTACCTCATTAATGTGAGTGACTCTTCCTCTAATTAGATGAAGTCCAACTTAGTCATGATTTAACAAATTGAAACCGAGTTTAAAACATGTTCAACCAAATTTATTTGTTATTTATATATCTATTACCAACTCAATCTACACTATATTTTTAAAGTATTGTTGCAAGTTATTTTTAAAGTTATTTTTGTGATATTTAAAGTATTTATGTGATGTATAGAGAAATTGTCATTTATTTATATAGTTTATATTCATACACCTATTTGTCATCTTAGTTTTTCTTTATGTCTCTTTAGATTATACTACCAATCAATCATATCTATTACATAATATAGAGAATCCCAACTACAACAACTATATAAGTGTATAACTAAATATATATATACATATAGAAGCCAAAAAAGAAACCTAAAGATCAACCTACATTTAGAATCTCTAATTGATCCCTCCCTCCTAAATACCCCAAACAAACGGGAACCCTGAATGTTGACATGACCACATTACTTCAAAACCACAATAAAAACACAAATTTAAGATAACATTACAATATTCCTTTCGACAACGTTAAAAACAAAATAGTGAATGTCCTCTTGCTCTTTCACCATTATTGAAAATGAAGTTTTGTCCAATATCAACTACGTGTAAACTGTCCTATAACAGATCAAGGCCACCATTACTCCCTCCCATTACCGGCATGACGGCGGCTATAACCAACTGTCCCCGCCCGTCTCCCTCAGCACCACAACCAAACAAACTATCTTCAATTTCAAGCACTACGTATACTTCCTTTCTCCAAGGGAAACTATTTGGTCCCTTCAATTTCTTCATGTATAAGCAACCACACCCAAACCATCCATTTTCAATGGTCCCACTCATCACCAATTCATTTAATTCCCACTTTACTCTTTTATTATCATCATCAGGTTTTTTTTGTATGTACATACATTCAATAATACTACTTGTGTTGTGTCTGTCGACATTCCACACATCAATCTTTCTCAACCTTAATTTTCATCATCCACAAGAAAATAATACACAACTAAAAATTTAAAAAAAAAATCTAAAATTATCTATTTTTGCTGTCATCGATTGTTCTCAATCCTGTGGCGGGGGAATCATATCCCTTATTAGCCATCGGAGATGTCCAATCTTGCATCAATCTCAACTCTGGCGCGTATTCAGACACGCGCCAGACCTTCACCGACTTATCCAAGCTTCCGGTGTAAACTATCCACCTTTGATCATTCTTCTCAATAGCACGTCGATCTTGTTGATCTTGCTCTTCATGTTCTTCGACGGCAATGCATTTAACAGGACCAGTGTGTCCTGTCAAAACAGAAAGACATATGTGGTTCCCACTCTGCTCACGTTTCCACACGCAAACATTCTTATCGGCGGAACCGCTGAACAAGAGGTTATTTGCTGCGGCGAGACACAGGACGGCGAGTTTGTGTCCCCTTAAAACGCCGCCGTGAGTGAGGTTATTCTTCTGCTGACGCTCCCAGAAGTTAACCAACCCGTCTGATGAACCGCAGTAAATAACTGTCGATAAACGGTTCACCGTTAAAGCCGTCACAGCGTTCTCTTGTTTCAACAAAATTTTCTCCAATACGTGCTTTGTTTTCTTCCCTTTCCCATCGGTTTCTCTCTTCCACATCTTGACTGTTCCGTCTGCGGAGCCGGTGAAAACATAGCTTTGAAATGCAGCGACCACCGCATTCACCGCGTCGTCGTGAGCGTTGATTGATTCCAAGCACTTGAAATCCCCCACACGCCAAACTTTGAAAGATTTATCCCATGAAGCTGAATACAACAAGCCTTGTTCTTCATCCAAACTCAGACTCGAAATGGCATCAAAATGCTTCACTTTCACCGTGTTTCTCCTTCGCCGGACTTCAACGTAGTTCTTCGGATTCATTGAACTTTTGACATAGTCTTTGAAAGTAGGCAAGCTTCCAACGCGCTTGTGTATTTTTGAATTTTTTGAGGAATTTTTCCAAACTCTGATTTTTCCGTCTTGATGACCGGTAAAGATATTTCCTTGAGAGATAACAATAGTTTTAACCAAACCGCTGCTGGATTTGAAACCGGTGTAGTCTTTAAGATCTTTCCACACCCTTATGTTTTTGCTATCGGAACCGGTGTATAACAAGTCACCGGAAACAGCTAAGGAATATATGTGACCTTCTTCGCGTACTAGTGACCCGATGAGGCCGTTTTCGGGGTAGTCGTTGTTATCGTTTTCGTGGTGGTGGAAGAGGTTGATTGCTTCTGAGGATGGCATTAGCCATGGAGATTTGTTGAGAGGAGAGTTATGCTCTTGGTTCCATGGAGACAACATGTAATTAGGAGAAGCATTGTTGCTGCTGCTAGTGGGTGTGCTGCAGTCGCCGCTGTATGTTTGAGGGCTCGCGGCGGAGACGTTGCTGATGCGTCCGTGACCGTCGTCGTTGTTGTTGGTGTAAAACGGCGCCGGTTCGGACTGTAGAAACGCTCCAAATTTTGGTCTGTGTAGTTTCTCGTTGGTATTATTGTTATTGGTTTTTCTCTCTACTAACATGTTTCCACCTTTTGTGTTTGTCATTCAAAGGTTAGCAAACTCAAATGAACAAAGTTTTTGTGTGTGTAGAAAACAAGGTTTTGATTTGGAGATAGAAGAAAGATGAAAAAAATTGAGACTTTGTTTGGTTTGTGTTTTGTTTTGTGTTGTGTGGTGGAAAGAAAAGAGATGCAAAATTATGAGAGATTTTCGTGGAAGTGTATATATATAGTGAGAGGTTGAGAAATGGAACAATTGTTATACAGGACACGTGTTCAGGTGTACCGGGAACCGGTTAAACCGGTAATTTAAAATAAAATAAAAATAATAACGTGATATTAAATTATAGTATTTAATTGGTTCGTACTCAACTAAATCTAAGGGTATATGATTGTTGGCCATTTTTAAAACAGAAAATGGTTACGAAAATGAGGATACGAGTACCTAGCTACGCAATGAGACACGTTATTGTTAGCTATGAGTACGTGTTTTTTGTGTTTACAAGAGTCAGAATGCGATTTGTGAATTGAGATTGTAAAGTTTGACTTTTATAAATTTCTATGGAAGAGTTTGACCCTCTATATTAATGTCAGAATTGCACTTTTCACCATTCAAAACGACGTACTTTAACGCGCTTTTGATTCTTAAGTGATTTTATTGCTATTTCTATCATCCGTTTTGTAATTTGAAAGGATTTGGAATAATCAATCATTGTGTTTTCAATAATAGTGGATGGTGGTTAACTATATTGTGTATCCACACCCAGTTAATTAACTTGTTCGTCCCATTGTCAGCTTGACTTTTGATTGCAGTATTAACATGTAATCGTCGAAAATTTTAAGTGCATCGCACGCAGACATCTTTTACTATATATTCATCTGTTAAATTCAAATAAAAACTCAACTAACTCTACGTATATCATCTGTCTAGGGTTAGTAGAAGACTTAATAGAACGAGTATTTCGTAGATGTTAAATACTTATAGTAAATAACATTAGTGTTGGTATGCTATTTGTTAATATATGGAAAATATGTTAAAATTTTAAACATTGTCTCTTATCCATTGTAAAAGAAATTAGTCTACATTTTAAATAATTTCTCTAAATACTAGTAATAATTTATTTTTTAAAAGATTTTTGATTTTTCGTGCAAGTCTTTAGATGAGATGACATATCTTTTTTAAAATAATTAAAATTTTAAATTTAAACTAAAGCTTAACTAAGCGAAAAATATTAAAACTCTTACGAACTTTGTTGATTATTTTAGTTCTTTATTTAAGGAAGACAATATATTGGACATTCTACGGAAATCTATTTATGTATATTTTAGAAAATGAGTTAAATAGTATATAAAAAGTCTTGTTATAGCTATAAAAAAATAGCTAAAATAAATCATTTGCAAGCCTTAATATGAAACATACTTAAAAAAAAATAAGGTTATGATGAGAAAAAAAGTTCATTATAGACAATATGTTTGACTTTGAATTTAAATTTTTTTCATAACGAGGTTTAGGTCTTTTAAGACTTAGTTTGATATGGCGTATTTTCAATAATATCTATGATATTTGTGCTTACAGGTTGATCTAGACTTTGATCGAGAGACTAGTATCCAGTGGGATGCATTGTGATAAATTGATATGTATCTTTTCTTTTTATTTTAGAGTTTTTAAATAGATATCTCAAGAGATTAGAAATTATGACATAAACTATAATTATTATTCTCTCCATTTTAGAATGACTATTGTTTAAGATTTTTGTATATGGATTAAGTAGTACAACAATATTATAATAAAATATTATTAATGTGTTGGAAATAATATAGAGAGTAATATTTAAAAAATGAGAATGAAAGTCATTTTAAAACAAATTTTATATGTTAAAATAACGATTATTTAAAAACGAAAGGAGTATTATAAAATGCGGTTTATAGGATGAAATTTACTCCTATTTATAAGAATTAGATTGTCGACTCGTGCTCCGCATGAGTATATTAGAAACAAAACTATATTATTTTATAATAATTGATATTAAATTTTTTATTTACATATAAAATTATCTTATACTTCATTTAGATTATATTTGGAATTATACTATTAATTTTTTAATGAGAAATAATAATACAAAAAATGTTTTAAATTATTATTTTTTCTAGATTATCAGAAGACCTATTATGATTTCATTTATATATTAAAATAAGTAAGTTATTTTAAAATATTATGAGTATAAAAATATTACTACTTAAACTATATTAAATTTAACATTTAACTTATAATTTAAATTAATTTTAGTACAAATGAATATAATAGTAACAATAGTAATGTGTAGAAATAAAAAAATATTAGAATTAAAATAAATGTACTTATGTCAACAACAATCTCATATTTATAGTAAATATACTATAAATATCGAATTTGAGAAAAAAAAAATTTTTACAAAAAATTATGTAGCTATTAAATTTTCAAAAACACAATTATTAAATTATGTTATAGTAAATTATGTTATTCTATATATAAAACAGTTACATGTAATAAATCTATATAATACAGTTAAATATATAATTATTTATTTTATTTTATTAATTAGATCATATAATATTGATTAAATAAATAGTTTATTTATTAGTATTATTGTCGAATTTTGAACATTAAGATTTCGAATATCAATTTATTGAAATAATAAAAGGCAAGTTTGACAATTTTCGAGAAATAAAATGGCAATGAATAATAAATAAAATACTACATTGTTCCAATTTACTGTATTGGAAATAAAATGCGTGAAAACTATCCAATTTATTATTGTAATTCAATTAATATTTTTATATTATCATTCAATTATTGAATTTATTGGAAAATAATATTTTTTATTAGTAAACAAAAATAAATTAATTATTGAAAATTAAATTAAAAATTAATATATTATTTAAATATAAATTATAATAATTATTGAAGGATACATTACAAAATAGTATTTAAAATATATTGTTTTTCTTTATAGTAAATATACTATAAATATCAAATTTGAGGAAAAAAAATAATTTTAACTATTGTACTAAAAATATGTTGTTTTTAAAATTTCAAAAGCACAATTATGAAATTATGTTTTAGTAAATCATGTTATCCTGTATATAAAACAATAATTGCTAATAAATTTGTTGGTGTAAATCCTAGAGGTCAATATTTTTGATACTTGTATAGAATAATTTATTTAAAATAAAAGGTATTTTTTATTATGTCTGCTTTTCCAAAATAATAAAGTTCCTAGAATAGTTCGTTTGTTTAATAAAATATTAAGTCTGATTTAATCATGAGATCTCATTAAACATAAGGATAGTAATTTTAAAATATTCGTAGACGAGCTTTATTGTGAAGTGAGATAATATTAAAGCATTGCGATTATTATATAGATAGACTGATGATCACGTCTTATGGATCATGGATAAGGAGTTATCAAGTCTTGATATATGTATGAATATTAGGAGTAATATTTATACTGGATTGACCTGCTATGAGAATAC